TGGTAGTTGGTAACCAAGTTACTCGGACTCGGGTCGCTCTCAAAGGAAGGCTATTCGAAAACGGATTCCAGTAACGATCGACTCACACAAGAAAAGAAAATAAATATCCTAAACACTCTACTCGCAATTTGGGGTTCGATTGAGCTAAGATGACAACTTTAAACTAAACGAGAGCAAAATTCAAACTTAACTAGCAAGCAACACCTCAAATTGCAAGAAAAAAGGAAAATAAAGAGAAAAATAGCAAGGTACTCATAGACCCGAGATGGAAAGAAGACACTCATAGGTTCGGGAATATGCAACCAAGCGATAGTCACTCGTGATCAATTAACCTCTCAATCAATTCTCGCTCACGCAATCAATAACAATATCACATAATCTCTAGCCTACGAGGATGATAGCATAATCGACTCATGGATGTGCCTATCTTAACCCTAGAATAAATCCAATAAGTATAGACAAGCAAGACTAACGAAATCATGAACCTTAAGCATAGTCTCCACGTCTCTAATCCATTCACGAGAAGAAATAAGCCGTAAAGTTGTAATCTTGACGGAGAAATATTACACTAAAAATAGGGTCTTGGAGCCCTTAGAGAGAGAAAGAAAACTAGAGAGAGAAGAGAGGAAAAACTAAAAAGAAAAATTTAACAAATGAGGAATTCTCCCAAAATTACAAAGCAAGATGTCTATCTATAGCTACACCACAAACACACACTAAAAACACACACATTTAATGAGAAAAACTTGCAGGCTAGGTGGATTTCGCGAGCAAGGGCCGAATTTTTGCGGGCTAGAAGGAACTCGCGAGTGTGGCTTGGTGCTGGGTGGAAAACTCGCGGGCTAGAGGAAACTCGCGAGCTGTAGCAGGTGATTTCGCGAGCGCGGACTCTGGCAGGCGCTGGGCGCACTGGAGAGAAACTCGCGGGGTGCTTCTTTACGTGGGCGCGGGCTCGAGAACTCGCGGGCCTGGACGCGCTGGGGAGAAACTAGCGGGGTAGCTGATTTTTGCGGGATAGGTGAGGAAACTTGCGGGCGGGAGTTCTAGCGCCTGGGCTTCCTTGGCTGCTCGCGAGTTGGCCGTAATCCGCGAAACCGGTTTCACGCCCTCGAATTCTGCTCTCTGAAGGTTAGTGCTGGCCCGCGAAATGGTCTTTGGT